TACAATGTGACATTTATCAATCTTACCTCCTCAACCAATTCCTTCCCCCAAACATCTAATATTCCGTCATTAAAGATATATATTTTTTTCCAATTTCAATTCTACTACGACTTCCATCCAAAAAAGAATATTTTTATAAAATAGAACTTTAAAGCATACTTATATTTCAATGCGCTGACTGTTTGATACCGAAATAAATCACTGGCATTGATATCAGGCAAATTAGTATAATATTTTAATCAATTGAAGTAAGGTAAAATAAATATTTCAAATCTGAAACATAATACGAATATTACTTCAACACTAATTTGGGAAGGAAATAAATTCAACTTGATCCATTTAATTAAAACTGTTAATTTGATTAAGAAGAAAACCCCATTTGGATGCTATAAAATACATTAACAGACTTTAAAAACATGTTCAGTTTGCAATAATATCTCTTGGTGATGCAATTCGAATTTAGGTTTTCGGCATTTTTCTAAAATGAAATAAACGCATGGAAGTAATTGTAACATTGTTATATGTTAACACACACATAATCTAATAACATGGGACTGTTCGATATGTATTAGATGCTAACACTGCAACTTATCAAAAGGTATATGTTTCTGTTGAATACTAAATCTTCAATAACAATCTAATGTCTTCCTAGAATCCAGGATCCTGTTGCCAATGTGTATATTTCTGCCACAAGGAATTCACTTACTAAAAAGTAAATCTAATTTCAACACCCACTTATACATATAATAAGGGCTACTTCTTTGTCTTTTCGTGTCCTCTGTTCACTCCCTCTTATCCTCTGTTACCTGGCCAAATAGTTTTCTCTTTCTATCTCAATATTTCATTTCAAATACACGAGTTAGCTTATACAGTCGAAGAGTTAGCTTATAAAGTCGAAGAGTAAACTGAAATATGTTTATAGTAATATGTCTGTCAGAAGTATATACTGTATGATATATACATTAAACTAGCCACAGAGTTAATCCCATTGCACCTATGTAATGACACAATTGCAACATTCCCTATGAGAATGCCAATTAATACATCATTAATTGTATAACTAATTAAACAAAACCATGATGTAACAGGACCAGAGTTGGTATAAATGGGATGTTGTGATGAGATTGATATTTTAGGACATATAATTTTGTAATGACTGAATATTTAATTGGAGTCCAGGAAATAGTATCTGGACGATAATTTATATATATATTGTGTTCTATTTCTTTTTTTCAGTTTCTAATTAAGCCCAAAATAAATACGATAATCAAATTAATATCATTTCTTGTCACCAATATTACTACCTCTTCTAAATTTCTCATATATGTAACACATTATGGGATGGTAGATATAGGCGACTCCAACTCAATCATGTCCATCTGTGTCTGCCAACCGTTTGTCACTAGTTCTACTTGAATAAAATTTTACTAATAATACATATTTATTGATATAGTGTACATAAAAGTATCTAATATTACAATACGCATCCAATAAACCCCATCATTTAAACAAGAAATCCAATACCGTAAGTGAAACGCATTAGAGTTAAACTCCAGGCAAAGATTGAAGTTAAAATACTAGAACTCTTAATGGTATACGACCCATTCTTGTGTGAAGCAACAGTGCTGTTGGAATGGGCGAAACTGGTGGAACTAGTAGAGATAGTTTTACCACCATGAATGGACGTACTTGAACTATCACTCTCGCTTGACGTTTTGGAAATGTCGGCTTTGTTTGAATTTACGACACTACTACGACCACTCGAGGAGGTAGTAAATTTCATTTTAACAGAAGATGTAGAGTCTTTATTGTCTGACGCTGACGAGTTCGGATCATCAATGGCTTCATAATACGTATAATTGTCAAATGGATGTGGGAATAAATCGTGCTCCCTCAACTTTTGGTAATCCCATTCAGGTGCACTTTCGGTTTTCCAGTTCCAGAAGAACCAGCCTTTGGTATAAGTAGAGAAGCTTAGCAACTGAGCTTCAATATATTTCCTAGTTTGAATCTTGTACTCTTCAGGCCATTGATCTATTAGGTTTTGAGACACACAGGTTCCATAACCAGTTCCAATCGATATTTTGTGTTACCTTTTTCCTTGCATTGATTGGCGGTGGAGCTAATGGGTTAGAGTCTTGTTTAGCCATTTGAGGAGGACCATTCAATTGATTACTAACATTTTGATTAATATCATTGGTGTTTGGACCATATGGATTACTTCTCATTGATACTGGTGTTGGTGGATTTTCAATTTGGGGAGCGTATGGATTACTTGGTTGAGAAGGTTGAATTTCACCTGGAGCTGTTGGCAATAATGGGAAAGAAAATTGCTTGTTATTCATTGATGGTGAGGCTGGAACAGCGTTTGTCGATGGTGGAGCATATGGATTATGAGA